TCCGGATTGCGGGGCTGGGGGGGAAGAGAGAAGCAGCCTCTGGACTGAAGGGAGGAAGCCTGAAGTCGTGCCTTATCCACCATCTCTGCCCCACCGCCACTTGAAAGCAGCACGAGGAACGCGAAACTTGGGGGGGGGGGGAAGAGACACACAAAAGTCCCACCAGACGACCAGAGTTTCTCCTTCTTTGTTCGCCCCTCTTCCCTCTCCCTTTCCTTTCCGCAGAGCTGCAGTGCTTTTGGCAGAAGGGGTGGGCTGGGGAGCTGCTCTTCGCCTCGGCCTCTGCCGTTGGGAAAGAGGAGAGGAATGAGGAAAAAGCGCTCCCCTCTCATGTTTGGAAAAAACTTAATTTTTCCATTGAAAACAGGAGGGTGGGGGGGGGAGAGAGACAAAGAATTAGACAGGCCCCAAAGTTTAAACACACACACACATACACGCACACACAACCCGGAGGGAAAAACTGCTTCGGCATCTCAAAACGGGGCGAGCGAGGGGCTGCCTCTCCGCAACCACACGCAGCCGAAGGAGGAGACCGCAGTGTGTGTGTGTGGGGGGGGGAGAGAGATGGCTGCCTGAGCCCCTGGGCTCCCCTCCAGTGGAAAGAGGCAATTCCTCCCCAAAATCGAGGCGGGTGGCCAAGCCCGGGCCTCTCGTGATCTTCCCCGTCCTCCCTCATCTGAGGCGTCGGTCCAAAGGGCTGGGGAGAGGGGGCAGGGGCGCCACACAGGCACTTTTTATTGGTGAATAAACAAAAGATATGCGGGATGATACCGTGGGATTTCACACACATCCCCCTTTCCTTTTGTCCCTTTCTGCTTTAGTTTCTTTCCCTGGTCCGTGTCACCGTGGATAGTCCACGGGAGTGGGACGACCCTACGAATAATAAAGAGAGGGGGGGACTGTGCTTGCCTGCGTGGGATTTTCTTCTTCTTCTCATGTCTCCGGCTCAGAAACGATGACGGGGTCATATCCTATAAGGGGACATTTTCACAAAGGTGATCTCAAGACTTCCAATTAGAAGACGACGAGGACTTGAGAGGGAAAGGGACCTCTCCCTTATTTCTTATGACTAAAATGAGAAGGAGGTGGGGAAGATCTGTGGAAGTCCTACCACAGAGGGAGAGGAATCCTCCACCCTAACATAAGGCACCCATGTATCTCCCTTTCTCATCAACAGATCTCAAATCGCTTATTTCAACCATATATCCTCCCCATTTAAAGCAGACAACGGGGGGAGGGAGAGGAAGAAGCTGAAAAGTGTGGGATAAGAAGGGAGTTTCCATAACACGAAAAGTCTTTGGGGAAGAGGGGGGGGGGCTACTAAAGGGACCTAATTGCCCTCAAACCAAAGAAGAGCAAAAAAGAAAAAAGATAAAATTTCTCTCATACACACACACACACACAGCCGTCCCTCAGAAAGGAGCAACTCTTCTTT